GCCTCGGGATGGCCCTACATGCTTGGGAGGGTTTTCAGGGTTTTCCGGGTTTTTAGGGTTAGGGTTTCGGTTCTCACACGCGCACAGGGTTTGGGGTTTCGGGTTTAGGGTTTAGGGTTTAGGCATGAACATACGCTGCGGACTCCCCGAACACCCTTGTTTTGAGCCCGTGCCGAGGCCGAGGCATAGGACGGGCAGGGTGGACGCTGAAACCCTAAACCCTAAACCCCAAACCCTAAACCCTAAACCCTAACCCGTGGCTCCCCAGCAGCCGAGCAGACCCAGAAACAATGCACAGCAAAAGACCAACAGAAGGGCCTTAATAGTAAGAAGAGGCAGAATATTTATAGTAATGATAATAGGTTCTTGGGGGATATGATAGTATATTTATAAAGGGGGCCTTAAGGGAACACTCTTAGAAGTTTTTGCGACCCGATACTACCCAAACTAACCTGGCACATGCTCCTGCAACGGTCGCTGGCTTACACGTCCTGCTTCTCGCCCTCTCTGACACCGGGCCTTCCACTGCTCACGAGGATGGACGACTCCCCGAAATCCCTAAACCCTAAACGCTAAACCCTAAACCCTAAACCCTTTTTTGCATAAACCCTGAACCCTAAACCCTAAACCCTACCAAAAACCCCAGTCAACGTGTCTTGCAATGAGCTCCGGACCATCGAAGGCCACGTGGCCAACCTCAGCCGTAAACTTGCTGAGAGAGGAGGAGAATTTCCTTATCCCCCTACAGTAGTGTGGGGGCCGAGGGTCTCTAGCGTACCCTGTAGGACTACCTGTAGCAGGCTAGGAGCATGTCATGCCAATAAAGAGTACCTTTACTTACACCCACCCACCCCCCAGCAACTGCCACTGCGAGTTTCCAACTGTTAGACGGGAGTCTATAAACCTCACATCGTCACACCCTCCACTTCCAGGAATCCCTGGCTAATATAGGGGCCTTAATTATTGGAATAGGGTTTTGGAGGCTACTCATTATGGTAGAACAATATAGGGACCATAAGGAATAACTACTAATAAATGTTCCGACCCCTATATTCGGAACTGGACGATGCAGCTTCCTGCGCCGAGTCTGCCGCGGATGCTCCATACCAGCAGCGCTGCGAACTGGCGCCGCAGGGCAGGCTTATTTTTTAGGGGTTTCCGAAGTGTTTGGGATACCTTATCGGGGTCCTGACTACTAGAGAGTCCGACTATTTTGGGCTCTATATATTCCCTATTTTTGCAACCCCATATGATATTCCAATGCAGCCGAAACGATGTTAGACGTTAATTCTGGCTCTAGCAATATCTACGCCCGGAGGAAACACACACAGGCACTTCTCAGGAACAACCCGATGGGGTTAGGGGTTAGGGTTTAGGGTTTAGGGTTTGGGGTTTGGGGTTTGGGGTTTAGGGTTCTGCCCTAGGATGAGCTCTAGTCAACATGGCTCCCGAAAAAAGTCGGGACCTCAAGATATCGAAAACATATACTTGAGCCTTCCAAGGTGTGACACACATGGGGGGCTTACGATGCTAGGGGTACCTTCTTAGGGTCCTTGCTATGAGGGCGTCATACTATTTGGGGGTCTACATCAGCGGTCCCTTTTTTTGGCAGAAACCCCACGTGCTGATATTGGTTACTGGTGCTTAAGGGAGAGTGGAAGAGTGAAACCCTCTAGTAATCCCTTTTTAAGAGTCCCTATATTCACTCTTCCACTCTCCCTTAAGCACCAGTAAGATTGGTTGATGGCTCAGCTGTCAACCCTGAGTCCATCAGACTGACGTCGCCCGAATTCTATGAGGTTACTCTGGCTGGGGCTTGCGGTTTAGGGTTTAGGGTTTAGGGTTAGGGTTTAGGGTTTAGGGTTTAGGGTTTAGGGCTTAGGGGATTTATGGGCCGAGTGCGCCCTCAAATCTCTGCCCTCAATCCCTATCCCCGGCAGCTGGTAGAAACTACTGCTTCTTGCGGGGACCTTTACCCTAAACCCTAAACCCTAAACCCTAAACCCTAAACCCTAAACCCTAAACCCTAAACCCTAAACCCTAAACCCTAAACCCTAAACCCTAAACCCTACACCGAGCAGCAACTAAGGCAAATCTTGGTCACCGACCTTTCTGTCTCCTCCAGGAACTGCATCGCCCACCTCGATGTGAAGAAGAAGCCGCGTCCATAAGCTTAAATTGGGATGCTCCCCCATATTGCTAAGAGTCGTTAATATGGGCTGATCATACCCCCAAGTAGAATCCCTAGCAAGGACTGCTAGTATATATAAGGGAGCGCATCCCGAAGCTTAGATTTGCCCCGTCCTCCTCAGCATGAGTATCTGCTGACGTAAGCACTTCCGTCAAGCAAGAAAAGTCCACACAAGCTCCCATCTTAACTGCGAACCGAATGCCTGGATTTTTGTTGGGGGGAACAGTGACCTGTGCAGCCCTGCCCTCCAGCCCGGTGGTGATGCAAGCCAAGTCGCGTCTTGGGAGCACCGCAGACGGTCACGGCCTGGCTAGATTTGGGGTTGAGGATACAGAGTGAGGCAAATTAGGGTGGGATTAGAAATCATGCTAGGTCTGAAGGTGCAGGGCTTGGAGTCTACTGCTTGCTGCTGTCTTTGGGGGAGGTCAGCGGCCAGCGCAGGGTTGAGGACCGAGGTAATCGAAGGGACGAAGTTGCACAAAGGTGTCCATGCCTGTGCTCTTCAAAATCTACACACAATCTCAAGAATACTGGAGGTCCTGATCCAAGCACCTGGTAACTCAGCCATTCTTTTCAACGCCCACTTGTGCACAGGAGCTCATGAGCTTCGGCAGGGCAGAGGTTGCGGCGCTCAGGCAACACGGGGAGTAGTCAGCCCGGCTTGTATGATGGTTCTTGCTAGTCGTATTCCTTCATCCTACCATTCTACTGTAGAAGAACCCTGCCTTCCCCTTTTTAAACCGGGTCTTTTGTCCGGGTTGATGACCCTACGAGGCCTGGTCGGGCCTGTAGCACCTGCGCGGCCCTGCACGAAGCTGTTCTCTGCCGGAGTGGCTGCCATTTGGCAGGCATCGGAGAGCCGCAAAAAACTGGAAGCTAAGGGCGTTTAGGCGCAGTCAGGGATCCTGCGGATTCCACAAAGTGGAACCAAGGCTTAGAAGCTAGCAGCCATGAGTATATAAAATGAATCTAAGTACGAATAGATAAATAAATAGATAGGTAGATGGGTAAATAAGTATATAAATAAATAAATATGTATATGTATGTATATATATGTACAAATACATAATACATAAATCAATACATGTATATACACATACGTGCATGTATTTTGGGTCCCATGCCACGGCTTTTTGGGCATGAGCCCAATCTTCCCGAATGGAAGATAACCGAACACAACACAGACGAGTGGGGAGTCTAGCCCCCCCAGCCCCCTTTGCTTCCCACCCGTTTCGCATACCCCGCTCCCCTTCCCTTCCCTTTTAGGGTTGAGAGTGTAGGGCTCATTGGGGAGTTTGGCCGGTTTTGGCTGTTTACAAGTCAAAGCAACACCCAACAGACAAACACATCTAAAAAGGTATCAACTGTACTTTACGCAGCCGTGGTCTTCTGCCGGTCTCGGTTCCAGAACTGCTGCAAGCAGTTCTGGACCTTGGGAATGCCAGAGCCTAGAGCCCAGTCCTAGTATGGTTTAGGCTTTCGCGCCCAGGGTTTGCAGTTTAAACTGGAGCTAGCAGCAACAACCAAAGCCCTTGCGTCAGACTGCGAGAGAAGAGCTTTGCAACATCTTTAGCTGGGTAACTTTGATTTCGAGTCCCAAACCCCCAAACCGGAAATGCTGCTACACGCAACCTAAACCCCCTAAACCCTAAACCCTAAACCCTAAACCCTAAACCCTAAACCCTAAACCCTAAACCCTAAACCCTTACAATTAAGCCGCAAGGCTTCACCCCTGAAACAAAGCCCAACTTACACACCGAACCCTGCATCCTAAATGCTCTTTTCGGGGCTTGTGGCTGAGGGTACAGGTTTCTCGGGTCTCACGCAGCATAAGGCTTGTTAGAAATATACAAAACTCTAATGAAACAGTAGAACAATCTATTTGCAGCATATGACATATGACAATATCACAACATGACAACAGAACAACAGAACAACAGAACAACAGAACAACAGAACAACAGAACAACAAAACAACAAAACAACAAAACAACAAAACAACAAAACAACAGAACAACAGAACAACAGAAGAACATAATCATCTTTTAATACAAAAAGATATCTTATGGAATAGTGTACGAAAATCAGCTAAAAATCTAAGAAGGGTTGGGAATTCTCGGATGGATCCAACAAATCGCGCCGAAGACTGCTCGGAAGATTCTTGCACTGTGCAGTTGCCAAACGGCAGTCGGCATATGCCCAGCCACGAGCGCGCTTCCGGGTTCAGGGGCTCTTTACCATTGCTCCCGATAAGCCCCGAAACCGAAACCCTTTTGGGGGCTAAGCCCTAAACCCTAAACCCTGAACCCTAAACCCGAAACCCTAAACCCTAAACCCTCCATACCCCAAAGCACAAAAGCTCTAGACGGCGTTCATCCATGGGTTTTCAGGCGCTGCAGCGCATGAAGTTCAGGGAAAGTAGGGCTGAAACCCCAGGCAGGTCATCCGAGGGGTTCAGGGTGTTTAGGGTTTAGGGTTTAGGGCTTGGGGTTAAGGGGTTAGGGCTGAGTGTTTAGGGTGTAGGGTTTCGAGCTCTTCGTGCTTTGGCTCAGTGGCATCCGGGCAGCGCTTCGAATTCAGAAATAGTGGGTGCGACTGCTGAACTATGCTTTTGGGAACAAGGGTTTAGGGTTTAGGGTTTAGGGTTACGTACATTTAAGCGATCCTACTTACAGAGTCTCTGCCACAGCCTCACACCAAGTACACCAATTGTCCATCCCTGCTCTGGACCCTCACCGACCAAGCCTAAACCCTAAACCCTAAACCCTAAACCCTAAACCCTAAACCCTAAACCCTCCAAGACTCCAGACTACACCAAGACCGACTCTCTCTGGCGCTCACGAAGATGCTCGGCCACGGCGCGCTTGATGTCGTGAACCAGCTTGGGGAAGTCATGGCGCTTGCGACACCTGTTTCATGGGCTCCCCTACTAGCCCCCCTCTAACCTTAAGTAGGCTTAACTATCCCTAAATAGCCTTAATTGTGACAGCAGTAGGGGGGTAGTAGCCCTAAACCCTAAACCCTAAAGCCTAAACCCTAAACCCTAGACCCTAAACCCTAAACCCTAAACCCTAAACCCTAAACTCAGGGCCTAGGCCGCCCCCCTACAGAGGGGGGGCGGCGCTTAAGCCCTTCGACCTGTATGGCGAAAGTCGACCCAGGTCGCTTGCCCGCCTCCTGCAGCCCGGAGGTCGGTAGCACCCACGATGGGCCCGGTACCGGAGCAGGTTCTCCCGGGGACCAGTACTGGTCCCCTTAATAAAGTAAATACCCTAAACCCCAAGGTCTTGACCCTGGATGGGGCTGGCATTTCGGGGGGGGGTACCCCAAGGCCCTCAGGCCAGGAGGACCCGGAGCCCCCACCGCAGCGTGTCCAGGGACCAGGGGGCCTCAGGCCAGGCCAGGCAGAGCGGGTGCTCAAAAAGCTGATCTGGCCCTTCTGGCCCGCCGGGCCCCCCCTGGCCCCCCCTGGCCCCCCCTGGCCCTTCCTGCCCCTCCCCCGGCCCCCCCTGGCCTCCCTGGCCCCCCCTGACCCCCCTGACCCCCCTGACCCCCGCCCCCCCAACCCCCCTGGCCCTCCCTGGCCCCCCCTGGGCCCCCCTGGGCCCCCCTGGGCCCCTCTGGCCCCCCTAAGCCCCCCCACCCCCCTTCCCCCTGACCCATCCTGGCGTCCCGGTCCCCCAGCCCTCTGGCCTCTGGCTCTGGCCTTTCTTGGCCCCCTTGACCCTTGGCCCTTTCGGCCCTTCTCAGCTCAGGCCCCCCACAAAATCAACCCACACCTTGCTTTGGGCAGTTTTGGCCCCTTCTCTCCTGAGCCCCGCTGGCCCCCGTCTGGCCCGGCTCTCGTTGGCCCTTCTGCCCACCTCTTGTGGCCCCCGCTAACCCTGTCAGCCGGGACCTGGCTACAAACCTTATTCTTGGGGAATGTTTTTTTTGAAAGTAAGCGATTGTCATGAGTTTAGGCCTAAACCCTAAAAGGAATAGGTTTGGGTGGTTTTGCCGCCTCGGACGGCGTGGGGTGGGAGAAAAGTTTTTGATGGCCCTCCAATATCGGGCCAGGAGCTGCTCTGCGCATTTGCCGAGGCATTCGAGCCGCTGCTGCATCCTAACCTTCACAGCATCTACGCCCTATCACAGCAAACCCTAAACCCTAAACCCTAGACCCTAGACCCTAACCCTAAACCCTAAACCCTAAACTCTAAACCCTAAACCCTAGACCCCAGACCCTAGTAGGGGAACCGATGACTGTTGGTCAGGAATGGCAAGGCAGGCTACAGACAAGTCAAGTGCCTGACTTGGGCGTGAGGATGCTCTGTTGAAGCCACCGGGTCTAGGGTTTAGGGTTTAGGGTTTAAGGTTTAGGGTTTAGGGTTTAGGGTTTAGGGTGGTTTAGGGATTGTTTCTTCAATTTGCTAGGACGGGTTCAAAAGAACGCACTTTAAACGCAAGCGCGCCAACAGCCAACAAGCAATATGCGGCTCACCTCGCCCAGACTTGATTCTCACAACACACACACACACACACACACACACACACACACACACACACACACACACACACCTCATCGCGAACAGTTACTCCGTAAAGCCCCCAAGCAGTGCTGCGGACCCTCTAACTCTGTAAACCCTTCCACAACCCTAAAGACCCTACAGTTTTGCTGCGAAGGCTGGGTTTAGGGTTCATAGGGTTTCGGGTCTGGGGTCTAGGGTCTGGGGTCTAGGGTTTAGGGTTTAGGGTTTAGGGCTTTAGGGTTTAGGGTTTAGGGTTTAGGGTTTAGGGTTTAGGGTTTAGGGTTTAGGGTTTAGGGTTTAGGGTTTAGGGTTTAGGGTTTAGGGTTTAGGGTTTAGGGTTTAGGGTTTAGGGGCCTGCGCCGCGTGGAGATGCAGTACACCTCCGGCATGCCCGTGAGCATTCCTGGGGCCGACAGCGGTCGCGCAGTTACAAGATTTCAGTCTTCCTGTTCCTAGGGTTTAGGGTTTAGGGTTTAGGGTTTAGGGTTTAGGGTTTAGGGTTTAGGGTTTGGGGTTTGGGGTTTGGGGTTTGGGGTTTGGGGTTTGGGGTTTGGGGTTTGGGGTTTGGGGTTTGGGGTTTGGGGTTTGGGGTTTGGAGTTTAGGGCTTCTTGAAATTGATGAGGGTTCAGGTCCTGGGAAAGTTTCCGGGAAAGTTTCAATGAGTTTCGAATAATTTCAAGTTACAGGGGCTTGAAGGTTTCGGGTTTACTGCAGAATGAGTCTTCAATGCGGCATCCTACATAAAGCGGCCACGGGCACAACTTGGAGCAACTGCAGCATCTGGCGCTGCTATCTGCGTAGCAGCTTTCGGGCTCACGGCTTGCAGATCGGCATCCCACTCCCACTTTGCGCAGTCCCATCGTGAATGGAATGCCCATCTGCTTCCCAAAATCTGTTAGGACTCCACCTTCGTGCCGAACGTCTCCGAAAATACATGCCTCTTGCACAACACCCACACCGCCCGAACCTGAACCCTGAACCTAAACACCAGCTGGCGCTCTATTTGATGGACCAAGTCGCGGAGCTCTTGTTTCACCGTTTCCATGGTCTGCACGGTGACCTGACAGCAAGATCTGCGCCCGAGCCGGCTTCCCAGAATAAGGTTACCCACTTGTGGGTTCCAAGCATTGTCATGTTTGGGGGAAGTCATCTCCTTGTGAGACAGCCAAATAACCCTAAACCCTAAACCCTAAACCCTAAACCTGCAGTACTCAACGTGGACAGGCTCTGCAGGATGGGAAGGTTGTAGTGTCCAAGCGTTCGGAGGCCTCAGAAGCCAAAGCTTCAACCCTATTCAGAGGTTCATGGGCACTTATAACCCCAGTTAGAAGTCTACTTACAACCTACTTAGGGGACTTACGGGGCTCAAAGGTGCAGTTATCATTGGGGGTACCTCAACCCCCTGCCACCTTCAACCCCTGAACCCCATCCAGATTGGGAGCCTCCGAAACCCCTACATCCGACAGCCCTTTGATTCCTTTCGTGCATCTGGACACATCACCCTGATCCCCCTTTACCCTAAACCCTAAACCCTAAACCCTGAAACCGCCCGCCTCCTGTAGCATCCCCTCCTCGTTGTCGGCAACCTCCTCCTCCTCCTCCTGGTGCCAGGCTTCAGCTTACCAGTGGAAAGTTCCGGGTCTGAGAGGGTAGGGGGGCTTGATTTAGGGTTTAGGGTTTAGGGTCTAGGGTCTAGGGTCTAGGGTCTAGGGTTTAGGGTTTAGGGTTTAGGCTTTAGGCTTTAGGGCGGCTGAACTTTGGGTTTTAGTCTTGGTTTGAAGAGAGGGTGGGTCTTTCAGGGTTGTTGGTTTTTTTCCCACCAGCACATCCCACTCAGGAGACAGACGGCTCATTAGGGTTTAGGGCTAGGGTTTAGGGTTTAGGGTATAGGGTTTAGGGTTCAGGGTTTAGGGTTTAGGGTTTAAAACAACGGAACGACACACTACGAGCGACACACCGACTATACTCTACCCCACGGGGTTTAGGGTTCTGGGTTAGCAGTAGAAGGTTTGCTCTTAGGGTTTAGGGGCTTTATGGTTTTGGGCTTTCGGTTTTGGACAGGTTTTGGGCTTTAGGGGGTGGGTGTTTTGGGAGGGGCTTGGGCTGTTGTCCGTAGGCAGCACAGAATCTCAGGGTTTAGGAGTCATCCGCATCAGGAGTCGTTTGGGTGGGGTAAGATCCCACAACTCTTGGCAGTGACAGCTCGACAAAAGACTAAGCCCTTGGCCCAAACCCCTTAAATAAACCCTAAACCAAACCCTAAACCCTATAAACCCTAAACCCTATAAACCCTATAAACCCTATAAACCCTATAAACCCTATAAACCTTAAACCCTAAACCCTAAACCCTAAACCCTGAACCCTAAACCCTAAACCCTAAACCTTCTTAGTGGTCCATGGAGGGACTGCAAGAACAGAAGCCCTGCCTCTTGTCTGAGGAGCTCTGCCTCGATATCGACCTCTTCCGATCTTCTTTAGGGTTTAGGGTTTAGGGTTTAGGATTTAGGGTTTGGGGCCCAGGGTTTAAGGTTTAGGCTCTGAAGCCCAATAAGGGAGAATACAACGAACCCAAGGGCCTGCCCAGTATATCGAACCATCAGCATACAGAACAAAGAAGGGTCGCAACATCAGCAACCGTGGCTTGAACTCAAAGTCAAAAAAGTAACCACGAGCATGCTAAAAGCAAACGGTGCTGTAGCACTAAGAATACGAGTAGCACGAAACAAACTAAGCACTGTCAACACCATAGGACCCGAAGTTGCTCATGTATGTAGTCCCCCCTGTCAAGCTCACCACGCCGAGAAGCATCAATCTTGTTCCGCACCAGGAAGTAGGGCACGCCGTAGGCCTGGGGCTTTCGACTCTCACAAGGTTTCGGCTCTGACACTCCCAACAACCAGGCAGGGTTCATGGGTTTAGGGTTTAGGGTTTATAGGGTTTAGGGCTCTAGGGTTTAAATGGTAGGCAAGGCTTCGGAAGGTCTCGGCGTCCTTACAAGCATGGGCACAGCCTGGCCGGCCAATCTGCGTCTGCTTTTTTCCCGTAAGACGACATGCAAAAGCCATTCGGCACGTCGAGTCTCGCCATAGTCTTTTGCAGTCATCTGCTCGGCAGCGGCTGCAGACTGGAGACAACATCACAAAACTCTTGAGCAGCAGCAGCGTCCCCGAATTCGAAGAAATACAGCTTCTGCTCGCGAGCATCGGACCGAGATGAGCCTCCTACATGGGGCGAAGAGAACCGCCCAAGGCTGGACGAGCGTCGCTTCTTACGCTGCACTTCCAGCGACAATATCCCCGTCCCCACCAGGCAACACCTCTCCACTTCTCCGGCTCCAACATCCACTACCGTCTTTACTTGGTCTGTCGAACCCTTCTCGTAGATGAGCAGTTGACTGCCTGTGACCAAAAGACTTCGGCAATCGTGCCGCTTCCATCCTGAAACGCCAGTGGTAAGCCTGTGCACCTCCGCGCGAAGACACCCACGCCAGGTAGCCGAAGCGGTCCCAGCCGGTGCCCTTCCGGAACCAGCAACATGGGACTCCCGGCCACGTCCTGAACTCGGCGGATTCGCCGGCGGATACGACGGCGTCTCTCTGCACTCTGGAGTACGCGCAACCTGAGGTGTACTCGATGGCGTGAATTCGGTCGATAAGGTTCGGATGGATTCTCTGTCTCCTTGGCTGCCCTTAGGAGGGTTTCTAACTTAATTTTTCAGCTGCCTTATTAAGAAACCCAGTAAACCCAAAAATGCTACGGATCTAAAGTTGCCACAAAGTCTCGCGGTAGAAACATGCTGGAGTCAGCACCTACGAGGGTGGCTGACGTGCTGTGTCGGTCAACACCGACAGACCAGGGGGAAGGATGGTCACCATCTTGAGAATTCCTGGGTCGGCCAAATTTATACTCTTTTGAAAAGTATATATATCTATGTATTTATTTATTTTATTCATTCTATTTATGTTTACTTATTTTCCTATTTATTCACTTTTTCAAGGGTCTCTTATAAACCCAAAAAATCAAAACCAAATCTGCCAGGAAAGCCAGCCTGGATTCTCAGGCATGTTCCGACTCTGGGCCGGCGCGTCAAGAGGCTCTTTGCTGAGATCTTTGGAGAAAGGATTTGTGTCAGGGGCAGAGTCCTTTGTCAAGCTCTCTTCCCAGGGAGCTGGTCCCAGGGACTTGTGGTGCCAAGATGTGCGGCCTCCGGGACCCGTGTGGGAAATCCAGCCATCGCTAGGCAGATTCGTCACCAGATCCGCGGGCGCGCCGGCGGGTGCAGGATCTGCAGCTGGCAGAGCTGGAACCGCGGCTGCTGGCAGCGCGGCCTCCTTGAATCCGTAGAGAGCTCGCCAGGTCGCGCGGATTGCGGCAGGCACGCTGCCGCTCCTGCGGGATGACTTCTGCGCAAAGAACAGGCACGACTGGAACGCTCCTTCAGGACTGTCCTGTCTGGCACGGCTAGGTAAAGGCAGCGAGAGGGCTGCACTGCCTGCATCAGCTGCGGGCTGTGGAGAGCGAGCCCTGGCGCTGCTTTGGGCACCGTTTCGGGACCCGCGAATTGGAGCACAGGCGCTTGTGGCCTGATCCTCCTCAGGATCACTGTAGTCACCCATGGGAGCTTCGTCCTCGAGTGCGTGGCTTTCCGGAAGCGCAGGTCTGCTGGCCCTGCCCATGTTAGCCAAGGGAGGAAGTCGTGGGAAAGCGTCACCCACCAACACACGGAACTGCGTGGATGAGAGCACATTCTGGAGCTGAGAACACGCATCTCCCAGGCCCTCCACCACGTGCGGAAGTCGCTCGGGAGACGAATGCGACTTTAGCTCCTCGAGGCTCTGGAGCAAGGCTGCTAAGTGGCAGTCCCGCCCGTCGGTTGCGCGCTGAATTGCCGCGTGGCCACGGGCGGACATCCGTTCCTTAGTAGCCCAGTAACCTATATTGCCATATTCTGATAAGGGCATCCTTTTTGGGGGTTGGCTATTTTATAAGGGAAACCATAAACAACAGGTAAAGGGTACCACTGGGCTACCCCTAAACCCTAAACCCTGAACCCTGAACCCTAAACCCTAAACCCAAAAGAGAAAAGCGTACCACTGGGCTAGCAAGGTGCCGAAGGCAGTGGTTTCTTGAGGCTCCTTCCCCGCGCTTTCGCGATGACCAGCTCAGAATCCACAGCTCTGTTAAGTCCTTTCCTTGGTAGTTAGGGTTTAGGGTTTAGAGTTTAGGGTTTAGGGTTTAGGGTTTGGGGTTTGGGGTTTGGGGTTTGGGGTTTGGGGTTTGGGGTTTGGGGTTTGGGGTTTGGGGTTTGGGGTTTAGGGTTTAGGGTTTAGGGTTCAGCTCTGTTAAGTCCTTTCCTTGGTAGCCCTGTAAGCATACATTTGAATAAGGGCACCCCCTTTTCTGGGTTGGGTATTCTTATAAGGGAACCTTGAACCCCAGAAAAGGGCAAAGGGTACCACTGGGCTGCCAAGTTTCAAGCTGCTTTGGAGGCGCTGAAGCTTCTCCACCATGCAATCCAGGCAGGGATGGAGCCACAGAGCCACCCGGATCATTCCGTAGTCACCCAAGCTGTCGCTGATCCGGTGGAACTGGGAGAGCACCTCTCCGATCAAGTACAAGAGGTCAAAGAGGGACTCGACTGCAACGAGCAAGTTCTCCCTGGCATCCTGCTGCGATGGCTCCCGAAAAGGCCCTGCCAGGCCACTCGTCTTGAAGTGCGCGGACTCAAACTCCTTGCGCACGCGCCGTATCTGCGCCGGAAGGCTTTCAGTGAGGCTGTCCGCGGGGGACTCGGCAAGGGCTGCTAGTGCACCTTCCGGCGCCGCCCGCGCCAGCTCCTCCTCGGCCCCGCTTCCAGCGAAGAGGTGGAAGGTCCAGCGCAGGCTAAGCAGGTTGCTGACCAGAGTGCCAATCATCGTCTGCCAAGCCTAGTTCATGGTTGGGATCGTAAGAAAAAACAAGCAATTTCCTTATTGAGCTTAGGAGTTTAAGAACAACAAAACATGTAGAATGTTACCCCAACTATGACAAAGAAGCATCCTGCATGGCCCTCTGCAGTTGGGGATCAATCCGACTGGGCTGTGGGTTGCAACTTGCGGGCAGCGACTGCCAAAGCACCACCACTTCGAGCGATGGCAGGCTGTCAGTCTGCGTCAGGTGCGTGGCGGCAAGGAGCAGGAAGGCGACTACATCTGAGATCAAGTTCCGGCTCAAGGACAAGCCTGACTCGATAGTACTAAAAATTCTAAATTTCTATTCCTTATTGGGTTTAAGCAATAAACCCAACAATTACTTAGTTTCTATTCCTTATTGGGTTTAAGTGCCCCTTAAAATGTACGTAAAAGGTTACCCAACCACCCTAAACCCTAAACCCGAAACCCTAAACCCTAAACCCTAAACCCTAAACCCTAAACCCTAACCTATGACAAAGAAGCATCTTGCGGCGAGCTCTGCGCAGGTTCGATCCCGTTCGAGGACCTGTCGCAACTGCAACTCCAAGTGTTCCTGGGTAGCCCCAGTAACCATATTGTAGTTTAGGGTTTAGGGTTTAGGGTTTAGGGTTTAGGGTTTAGGGTTTAGGGTTTAGGGTTTAGGGTTTAGGGTTTAGGGTTTAGGGTTTAGGGTTTAGGTTTAGGGGTTTAGGGTTTAGGGTTTAGGGGTTTAGGGTTTAGGGTTTAGGGGTTTTGGGGTTTAGGGGTTTAGGTTGCCCAGTAACTATATTACAAAAGGGGTACCCTTTTTTTTGGTTAGTTACTGTACAAGGGAACCCAGAACCCCAAAAAAAAACGGGGAAAGGGTACCACTGGGATACCAAGGTTCGTAGACTTCACTCAGTGCATGCATGAAGCTGGTCTTGTTTCCTTGGTAGCCCATATGATAGCAAGGGGGTATATCCTGCCTTTTCCTTTTGTCTTGGTAACCAAAGCAACTTACTTTCAAAACCCTTGAGAATCCAAGAAAGGCAAAAGAACCCCACTCAGAAACCAAGTCTCGCGAGGGAAAGAGGTTTGGATAGTTCAACAGGTCGCGGCAAAGCCCACACATCCGACGCACCTCGTCCTCCTTGGTAGCCCAGGAACCATAAAAAAATCAACGGTGCCCCTTTTTTGGGGGTTGGTGACTTTTTAAGGGAACCTAGAACAGCAAAAAAAAAAAAAAAAAAATATATATATATATATATATACAAAAGCAACAAAAGGAAACGGCTGGGCTGCCAAGCCTCTGTGATGTTTGGGTTTGCCGCGTGCGTCCGAAGCCAGCGCTTCAGCAGCTCGATAAGTCGGGTGCGAGGATCATGCCGGTACGTTCCGATACTTGTCTGAGCTCGGGTCCCGAGGACAGTGAAGTAGGTGGTCTTCCTGTTTCTTTGATACCTTGGTAGCCCAGTAACCATATTATCATACGGGGGTTGGTTTCTTTATAAGGGAACCTTGAACAAAAAAAACAAGGGAAAAGGGTACCACCGGGCTACCAAGATACTCAAGGATGACATCTAAAGCTGCAACCAGGTGGGAGTGCTCGTATCTGGGAATCCCTCGTTCGATAGAAGTGAGCGTGAAATCATCCCCACTTGCAATGTCTGCGAGGGAGGGGTCCTCCAGATGCTTCTTTACCAGCGACTGCAGAACCTCGAGCTGAGAACGCGCCAGGGAGCTCCAGTTGCCGGAGCTCGGCATCACCGCACTAACGAGCGAGGCCATGCTACGCAAGGCTCGCTCGAACGGTGGAGGGGGGGGGGCTTCAGCCGAACATGCTCATGGACGCTAACGAATCCAAGAGTAGGTGCTGGCTCACTGGGCTCACTAGTGTCGAAGAAACACCACATGGACTGAGTCAACGGCACGTGACTATGTGCAGGGAGGCTTACCCCTCTAAACCCTAAACTTGGGATGTTCCGCCTGATGCTAGCAGTCCTTAATAAGGGAATATAATGGGGGTACTCGAATCCCTATGAAGGACTGCTAGTCTAAGGGGAACATCCCAACCCTTTGTGCAACTGGAACATCCCAACCCTAAACCCTAAACCCTAAGCCCTAAACGTTTATTCCGGCCTCCAGCTCAGCGACCAGCTGAAGCTCCGACTCTGTGAGCCGCGCGGCCGTGACCCTCGGTGCCAAGGTGTTTCTGACTTTAGGGTTTAGGGTTTAGGGTTTTGGGTTTAGGGTTTAGGGTTTAGGGTTTAGGGCTTAGGGCTTAGGGTCAGTTTCTGACTTTAGTTTTCCAGTGGCTCGAGGTCGTTGAGGGTTTTTTTTGGAGCTTTGACAGTCAGGTTACGGGCTTTTTTGAAAACTCCAAGGCTTTAGGGCTTGTGGGGTTAGCAGGGTTCATAGATGTAGTGAGGTAGCAGGGGTTAGTAGGGTTAAGTAGGGTCTAGGGTTTAGGGTTTAGGGTTTAGGGTTTAGGGTTTAGGGTTTAGGGTTTAGGGTTTAGGGTTTAGGGTTTAGGGTTTAGGGTTTAGGGTTTAGGGTTTAGGGTTTAGGGTTTAGGGTTAGAAAGATCCACACTCGGTGTCGCACTTCACGGAGAAGCGAGGAAAAGAAGCAACGTCAGCGAAGCTCGGCCACATCTCCATGCTGTAGGTCAGTTCTGTGACTTAGGGTTCTTATAAGGGAGGGGGTTTCAATGGGTACCTTTAGGGTTTAGGGTGTAGGGAAATCTAAGGGGCATTATACCAAGAAAGGACCATGAGAGAACTGAGCGAGCTCATGCCAGGCAGCCGGGAAATAACCTCTTTCCCGAAGCAAAGGGTCTCCACTCACGGGGCAATGTTCAGGAGGCAGATGGTATCAGAAAAAAAACAAAAGCATGGGTAATAATCATGGCAATATTAACAAGGGCCCCAAGAAAGCTGTACGAGCTCCAGCCGTGGAGTAGATAGGGGCTTGAAGTGTCGCCCTCCGAAACCCTTTCGTGGGAGGCTGCTTGGGTTCACGCCTGGGCGGGAACACGCAGGGGCTTAGGGTTTAGGGTTTAGGGTTTAGGGTTTAGGGTTTAGGGTTTAGGGTCTGAACATGACGGTCGCTGTGTCCGACTTCGCATCCCAAGCGTCAGCAGCACCAGGTCGAAATGGCGCACGCCCATGTGCTTCAGGTAGGAAGCCTGGGGTTTAGGGTTTAGGGTTTAGGGTTTAGGGTTTAGGGTTTAGGGTTTAGGGTTTAGGGTTTCGAGGTTGGCTTACTTGGTAGCCCAGTAACCATGTTGTTATAAGGGTGCCCTTTTTAGGTTTTTTTTTGCAATAGGGTTTAGGGCTTAGGGTTTAGGGTTAGGGGTACCCCTTTGGTTCGTTCGTTACCTGTTGTAAGGGAACCTTGAACCCAAAAAAAAGGAAAAGGACCGGGCTACCAAGCTTGCTAGTTTCTAGGGGTTTTCGACCCTCATGAAGCTCCAGGGAACACAGACTTCTGTTGGACTTTGAACCCTAAAGCTGCCAAGAGCAGGGCTTTCATGTTGAGGGAACCACCTCCTGTCAAAATCTCCGAATCTCCACCGTTGTCCCGAACCCGAAGCGACAACCACCTCAAACGCTAGCCACTAGGCCCTGCCAACGGCCGCAGCCTACAAGAATGTAGAGTTGTTCCTCAAAATACAAACACCACTACATTGGCATAACCCTAAACCCTAAACATTGGCCCTAAACCCTAAACCCTACACCCCAATTGACAGCACTTCGTGCTCACAAGAATACATCACAACAACAATCCCCGTCGCCTGCGGAAAGCGGGGAGTGCCGATCCCGGGGAGGTCCCAGAGGACGGCCTGTACAGGGTGCAAGGTTTAGGGTTTAGGGTTTAGGGTTTAGGGTTTAGGGTTTAGGGTTTAGGGTTTAGGGCTTTCGGGTGTGTAGACCAAGCGGAGGGATTTGTGGGGGCTTTACAGGGTTCAGGGTTCTAGAGTTGGGAAGGCTGATAAGACTATATTAGGAGTCCCTTCTTTTCGTAAACCCCCACAAGCCTTGAAGCCCCAAATAGTCGGATTCCCTTAGAATGAGGACCTCAATAAGGTACCCCGAAGAATTTGGCAAGCCCCCATATCTGCAGGGTGTTGGGCAGATGCTTCTGCCAGGGTTTAGGTGCGCTTTATCGAGGCCGCTTTTCGGCTCATGTCTTCATTTGGGCCTGCTGCAACTCCTCCGGGGCATGTTTGTTGAAGGTCCGATTGCCGAATATCAACCCTAAACCCTAAACCCTACACTGTTACATCCTAAACCCTAAACCCTAAACCCTAAACCCTAAACCCTAAACCCTAAACCCTAAACCCTAAACCCTATTGAACATCAGCTCTCGGCTTTAGAAGTCGGGACTTTTCAAGCCTCAGACTTCGCGAGCCCAAGGCAGTCTGGATCAAGAAGCCCAACCAAGAAAAGAGAGTCGTTGAAACGCACCCCTAGCCTTTTCCCAGAACATGCAGGAGCTGTATAATATGTATATGTATATATACATATGTATATATATGTATATATATATATATGCAGCGACAGAGAGAGAGATATATATATATATATATACATATGCATATACATTTTTTATGCAGAGAGAGAGAGATGGATGTCCTTCCTAATTCCTGAGCAGTCTCACTTGATTTAGCAGGCTGGCCGGCAACTGCATCGGGCCACACATGGCCCTCAGCTCTAGAACTCTCTAGGAAGCCTAAGCCTCATAGATGACCTCCACACACTCTCACACCCTTAACCCTACACCCCAAAAACCCAAAAAACCCCAAAGCCCTAAAAGACCCTAAACCCTAAAACCTTAAACATCCCAACAGCCTGTTGTTGCCGGGAAACTTGCATCTAGGATGGCCCTGAAAAATATTCCTGGATATGATCCTCTTAAACCCAATAAGGGAAAACATAAAATGTTCCAAGGGCCTACCCCTAACCTAAACCCTAAACCCTAAACCCCTAGACATGGGAGGCCATGGACTAGTGGAACTCTTCAAGGGGTCAGGCTGGAGCTTCCAAACACCCACATTCTCCTACCCTTCTTAGGCTTAGGGCCTTAGGCCTTAGGGTTTAGGGTTTAGGGTTAAGGGTCAAGGGTTAAGGGTTTTTTCCCCGGGTTTAGGGCTTCGGGTTTAGGGCTAACGCCTTGTGAAGGGAAGGGGGGCTTAGCTTTGCTGTCATCGGCGGTCGCTTTCATTTTAGCGGTTTCCCAGCTGGAGCCCGGTGATCGCACCCAGTGTGCGCGGAAGCTCAAAACAGCGCGGCCTCAAGGAACTTGGCCAAGTCCGCCGCCACGCAGCGCCCCTGCACGCGCTCGGCCACCATGCGGAGGAACTCGGCCAGGGGACAGTCCAGTGGCCTGGAGCAGCCGGGCAGGGAGATCTGGCTGCGGACAGGCTTGGCCTCCAAGAGGCGGAGCTGCGTGGTGGTCGGGGCCTCCTGGAAGATGCGCACCGTGAAGGTCTCTTCCTTTTCAGGGACCGAAAGTGAGACCCTAAAATTTGGGTCATGTATCTTTATACTACTGTCATTCCTCTTAAGGTCATATGAAACTCTAAACCCTTTTAGGGTTTCATTTCGTCCACAAGGTTCTTCGCCCTGCGCATGCAGCTCGAAGAGGAGGGCGCCCAGGAAGATGGAGGAGGTGCCGGGGGGATAGCTGGGAGTCTGCAAGCTGAGCTGGAGCAGCTCAGCCAGGAGCGCGACGTTCACGTCGTGGCCCATGAACCTATACTCCCCTTAGAACCTCAATAAAACCAATATTTCGAATATCCTCTTGGGTTCATATAAGCAATAAAAAATAATTCCCAAGGGGGATATAGGAACCACTGGAACTTTGCCTCAGCCTGGCCAGGTAGAACTGCGCTCTCCGGGAGCACCGCCTTGCCTAGTGCGGCGGACTGCAGCGTGGCCGCCAAGTAGGCAGGGAGCGTGCCGCCGAAGCGGTTCCTTAGCAGCCCAGTATAGCCATATTTGAATAAGGGCACCCTTTTTTGGGTTGGTTCCTTTAGGAGGGAAACCTTGAACCCCAAAAAGGGAAAAGCACCCTTTTTGGGGTTGGTTCCTTTAGGAGGGAACCTTGAACCCCAAAAAAGGGGAAAAGGGCACCACTGGGCTATCAAGGTTCGCATTGATGGGGTTCTTGTAGGTGCGCCAGATACCCTCAGTGACCTTGTACAGGCGCTCGATGGTCTCGGGAGATGCGTTGCCCAAGACGGTGTTGTTATTCACCTTATAGTAGCCCAGTAACCATCTAGTAACAAGGGCACCCTTTTTTTGGTTGGTTACTTTATAAGGGAACCCAGAACCAAAAAAAAGGTAGAGGGTATAACTGGGCTACCAAGTCGCGTACTGCGTCTGCAAGGTGGCGGCCATCCAGCCGGCATACTGGAGGCCTCCAGTCCAGGTGTCCCAATACCCGCCCGTCCACTTGTTGGGCACATCCTTCAGCTGGCACTTCCCGGCACCCGGGCACAGCGAAGGGGCACAGCAGCCGAAGATTTCTTGCAGCTCGTCCATCTCCGCCCCGAAGTTGGCAACTGCCCAAGCATGGAAGTCACCGCCGATGAGCCCCTTCACCTCCTGCTCCGACGCATACTCGCAGCCCGGGAGCAAGATCTTACCTTAGTTGTCTAGTATTTCGGGGATTTAAAGGCTAACCCAAAAAGGGATTATAAGGGGAATATGTTAACCCAGCAAGGTTAAAGGTTACCTACTCTACTACTAAGTTACCCTCCTGGAGCACGGAGTGCTCGACCTCTCCACTGTGGGACTTCAACTCGCACCCTGGGGCGAAGCCTGCCAGCCATCGGTTCCCACTCTCACGGTCCCGATCATCCTCATCTGCATAGACCTAGCTCATGGTTCGGAGAGTATGTAAAAATGTTGAATTTCTAGCCCTTATTGAGTTTAGAACCTAAACCCCAAACCCTAAACCTTAAGTACTCTTCAGAATGCAAAATGTTACCCCACCTATGACAAAGAGACCTTCACCGCGCTCCCAATCTCCTCGCAACTCTTACCATCCAGCGACAGGGCCTGGCCGTACTTGGAGGTTCAGGGGACTTATAACCCCAACTATTACTGTACTTATAGGGCCCCCTAAGTCCCCTAAGTAGGTTAGAAGTAGACTTAATAACCCCAGCTATAACTGTACTTATAAGCCCCCCCCTAAGTCCCCGAAGTAGGTTATAAGGGCTACAAGGTAGACTTCTAACTGGGGTTCTCAGTACCCCATGAACCTCCAAGTACTGCTTCCGGTAGTGTTGGCCCAGCTGGGTCGCGAAGAGCAGGCCGTGCGGCGTGGCGTCGCTATTCTCAGCGCCATAGGCTTGGTCGATGCTCTTGTTCGACAGGCCCAGGCCCTTCTTGGGTTTTGGGGTTTAGGGTTTAGGGTTTAGGGTTTAGGGTTTAGGGTTTAGGGTTCAGCATCTCAAGTCCGAGCATTCACTAGTCAAGCAGCTTGTCAAGTGTTGGAATAAAACCCCACCCACCCAAGAAACCCATAACATTGAGAAAATACAAAAATCACTCAATACATTCCCAGTAGGCTTAAAGCTTAAGGTCCAGTTGGCTCAAAACCCGAAATCTAACTCTCGTGGGGGGGGGTGGGGGGGGTGGGGGGGGGTGGGGGTGGGGGGGGTGGGGGGGGGGGGGGTGTGGGGGGGGGTGCGGGGGGGTGGGGGGGGGGTGGGGGGGGGTGGGGGGGGGTGGGGGTGGGGGGTGGGGGGTGGGGGGGGTGGGGGGGGTGGGGGGGGGGGGGGGGGGGGTGGGGAGGGGTGGGGGGGGGTGGGGGGGGGGGGAGGGTTGGTACCCCAGTTACTTTTTGCAAGGGCACCCTTTTTTGGTTGCTTCATGTATAAAGGAACCTTGAACCAAAAAAAGGTACCGCTGGGCTACCGCAAGCCTTGTAATCCTTGATCATGGACTTGATGGAGTGGCGGCTCACCGCCAGCACCAGCCTCAGGGAGCTCCCCTCACCAGTTCCCACCGCCCGACGTTGCAGCAAGGCCAGGGCGGCTTCCTCCTTGTTTAGGGTTTCGGGTTTAGGGTTTAGGGTTTAGGGTTTAGGGTTTAGGGTTTAGGGTTTAGGGTTTAGGGTTTAGGGTTTAGGGTTTAGGGTTTAGGGTTTAGGGTTTAGGGTTTAGGGTTTAGGCGGTGGCGGCAGCCTCCATGTCAAGTGCGGCCTCCTTGAGCTCCTTCGCCAGGGCGAAGGCACAAGCCCATGCCAAGAGGGCCGAGATCATGGGCATCATGAGTCCCCCCCTTTCCCCCTCTCCCCCGGCAACAGGTGCTTGTGGCTGTGCCGCGGGGGTGGAGTCGTTGGAGCCGGGATGCTTTTGCGGAATGCGAAGAAGGCACGCAAGCCATGCGACTTAGCCTGGCGGACAAGGACTTTCAATTGCATTGCTCCCCTAAACCCTTTTTGAGTCCCCTAAACCCTAAACCCTAAACCCTAAACCCTAAACCCTAAACCCTAAACCCTAAACCCTAAACCCTAACCCTAAACCCTAAACCCTAAACCCTAAATCCAAGTATTCCAAGTGCTGCCGGTTCAGGAGTCGGCGAGTCGATGTTTGACTCTAGCAAGTCTACTTGGAGGTTCAGGGTACTGATACCCCCACTTATAAGTCTACCTATAACCTAATAAGTCGACTTCGGGGGGCCTATAAGTACCCCTAAACGCTAAACCCTCGACCCTAAACCCCAAACCCTAAACCCTAAACCCTAAACCCCAGGTTATAGGTACCCTGAACCTCCAGTAACCCCTCAGTCAACTCCAAGCCCAATGTCTGCCGAACTTTCCATGCCAACCCTAAACCCTTAACACTAACCCCTTAACACTAAACCTTTTTCAAGCTGGACTTGCTGACCCTAAACCCTAAACCCTAACCCTAAACCCTAAACCCTAAACCCTAAACCCTAAACCCTAAACCCTAAACCCTAAACCCTAAACCCTAAACCCTACAAACAGCGCCTGCTGCACCACGGAGGGGCCCTCCGGGGCTTCCGCTGGCGCATGCCCTTGGACTGCTGCAGCGAGTGCCGAGCATTTCAAAGGGCGCAAAGGGACCATGCTTGAGAGAACTGCCCATAAAAGCCCTAAACCCTAAACCCTAAACCCTAAGCCCTAAACCCTAAACCCTAAACCCTAAAATACCTGGTTAATAACCTCCAAGTAAGCATGGACATGCCCTCATAATCCTGGCCCTTCGCCAGCCGTAGCTTGGAAACAACTCAATCAAGAATATTGTGTTTCTTTTTTATACTCATTCATACCTTTCTCCTTTTTTCATGTGCGCCTTGAGTTCATTGTTTTGCGTTTCGGGTTTGGTAGGAGGTTAGGGTGGCTCACAGCCGAAAGTCTTTTGGGATTCCGATTGCAATACGGAGCCTTGAGTAAGGTACGCAAAAGAGGACCCTGCGTTCGAGAACCACCCATACCAATATCACCTATACATTTCTGAGATAAAGGTGCCCTCATTTCGATGCCCCCACCCATTGAAAACCCTCATATCGAGGACCCTAAACCCTAAACCCTAAACCCTAAACCCTGAACCCTGAACCCTGAACCCTCAAGGGGCTCCAAGGAAACTCTCTCCTTCGGGCTAAGAGTCCCTTTCGAGGCCGCCATGCATACATCGCCGGCGTGAGGGTGGTCTCCTCAGCAAGCGTTTAGGGTTTAGGGTTTAGGGTTTAGGGTTTAGGGTTTAGGGTTTAGGGTTTAGGGTTTAAGGGTCATACGTTGGGATGTTCCCCTTATACTAACCGTCCTTGATATGGATTGTAATACCCCCTGTAGTATAATCCCCATTACGGACTGCTAGTTTAAGGGGTGAACATCCCGAGTCTTACGGGTCTAGGGTTTAGGGCATAGGCTAGGGCCTAGGGTTTAGGGTTCAGCATCTCATGTTTAGGCATTCACTAGTCGAGAAGTGTGGTTGCGAAACCCACCCGAGAATCCCATAACATTAAGAACATGACATGTTGTGGGATTCTCCGGGTGGGTTTCGGCTCAATCCATAAAACCTAGGCCGTGTACCCTAAAAGGGGGGGAGGTCCGGTTTCGGCTCCGATTTTGGCATCCGCGTCGCCAATCGGGTGGAGGTGGGGGTGCGGTTTCGGCTCCGATTTTGGCATCCGCGTGACCGTTGACAGGTTTTGGGAGGCCTTAGAGGGGGCTCCGGTTACGTCTCCGGCTTTGGCAGCCGGGTAACCTTAAGGCTTTGCGGGTTTAGGGCTGAATTAGGGTTGAGGATCCTTCACAGCCAAGGTCACAAAAAGGGATGGAAAAGTCTTTGCAGCCTCTTCCTTCTGTTTCAAGACATCGAGCTGAGAGCGAGTGCTGCACGCGCCCATGCGAGCATGACAGCTGTAGGTTTCTTCTACGAAAACTGGCCTCAACAGTTATCAATCGTGACGGGCTTCGGTGATGCCTGTCTGAGCCGCGTTCTTGTCGGTGTCCTGGAGACACAAATGGGCGCTAAGCACTAGAGTCACTAGAGACCCGATGGCTCAAACCATAAAGCCTTAACCCATTTATTGAAGCACCGGCAGTCCGGTGGCCCATGTTGCACCCCTGAACACCGGGTGTGGCAGCAAAGCATCGTGACGCCTGCCTTTCAGCACGGATGGGCACGTGAGGCAGAAACCCCCAGCATCAGCAGCATCATGACCCCCACGTTTCAGCAACGAGGAGCACGTGCGGCAGCAAAGCCCCAGCATCAGCAGCATCATGACGCCTGCCTTTCAGCACGGATGGGCACGTGAGGCAGAAAACCCCCAGCATCAGCAGCATCATGACCCCCACGTTTCAGCAACGAGGAGCACGTGCGGCAGCAAAGCCCCAGCATCAGCAGCATCATGACGCCTGCCTTTCAGCACGGATGGGCACGTGAGGCAGAAAACCCCCAGCATCAGCAGCATCATGACCCCCACGTTTCAGCAACGAGGAGCACGTGCGGCAGCAAAGCCCCAGCATCAGCAGCATCATGACGCCTGCCTTTCAGCACGGATGGGCACGTGAGGCAGAAAACCCCCAGCATCAGCAGCATCATGACCCCCACGTTTCAGCAACGAGGAGCACGTGTGGCAGCAAAGCCCCAGCATCAGCAGCATCATGACGCCTGCCTTTCAGCACGGATGGGCACGTGAGGCAGAAAACCCCCAGCATCAGCAGCATCATGACCCCCACGTTTCAGCAACGAGGAGCACGTGCGGCAGCAAAGCCCCAGCATCAGCAGCATCATGACGCCTGCCTTTCAGCACGGATGGGCACGTGAGGCAGAAAACCCCCAGCATCAGCAGCATCATGACCCCCACGTCTCAGCAACGAGGAGCACGTGCGGCAGCAAAGCCCCAGCATCAGCAGCGTCATGACGCCTGCCTTTCAGCACGGATGGGCACGTGAGGCAGAAAACTCCCAGCATCAGCAGCATCATGACCCCCACGTTTCAGCAACGAGGAGCACGTGTGGCAGCAAAGCCCCAGCATCAGCA